AGCTATTTTCCCTTCACCCATGATTATGCAGCAATTTATCAACAAAATGGCAAAAGAACATCTGACTGGGACTATTTATTATACAGTAAGGCATTTATTTTTTGTTCACTTCACCAGGAACAGTGTCCCTGTTATGGCTAGTTAGCCATCTGTGTCCTAAGAGCTTTCAGGGAAGGATTAAACTGTCATTTGTTTTATTTCCTTTCATGAAATAACTACCCTAACAGGGCTGAGGCAAGACTTGGATATTGCTGGGCTTGCAGCCTTAAGGTGGCATGAAAAAGAGTAACTGGATCTTCCCTGGAGCTAAAGCGAAGCAGTGAAGTTTGGGGGTTTGGTTTTGTTCTTTTTACTCCTTATGCTCAGTGACATGCAATATCACTCCTGAAGTGCTCCTACTGGAAAGAGCACAGATCAGGCGATCTCTACGCCACGCTTAGGCAGAAGTGCAATTATCTGTGGGTTACTTTTTTTTTTTAATGCTGATTCATTCACTACGTTTCGCCAACATGGCTTGGGAACCTGCAGCTCACCAGGGCTGGGAGCAGGAGGCTGACAAAACCAAACAAAGAAGGAAGAGGAACGCCATGTCCTCCAGGTGGGAAGGGTGTACCGACCCTCACCCACGGATTCACAACCCCACAGGCGGAAGGGCAGCACCGTTCTCGCGAGAGCGATTGCGGCACGCGGCACCCCCTCCCCATCTACAACTCCACAAATGGGTCTAAAAACTTCTAGCGCTACTTCCCTGGAAAGAACGAACAAAATAAGCCGCCTGATTCAGAGGAAGATAATCTGTGCCCTCAGTAAGAGCAAACATGTGGGAAAACTATTTGCTAGAAGAATGTACCTTGCGGCTATTGCCAAAGGTTTTGATGGGTGTATCTGCGCTTTGGATAGCTTTATGGCTGCGCAGTGGAAATTGCTCATAATGAATGATAACATCTACGTTTCTCTAACACCTTTTGTCCAGAAATCAAAAGCATTTTTCAAAGAAAGAGCTGGATTTTGAATGCTTCACTCCAGCAGCTCCTCATGTCACACTTTTACAGACCCATTTTTTTGAAACGACTTGGTAGCCAAAGCTCTCTGGCACTCGCTATGCTTTAAGTGACATCTGAGCGCTCTTAAAAAATGCGACCCACGCAGCATTTCACTGCTGAAGTGCAACTGCCTCTGGGGTGGGAGAGACGCACCCCAGAGTGGCCAGCACCAACGCCACGTGACCCTCAGAAGGGAGAGTTTGGCCAAGGAGGGCAAGCCCTGCTCTTACAGCAGGTGCCAAACATTTATAAGGATCAGATAATGGCTCTTCTCAAGGTCTTGGCTTGAAGGATCATACGTAACATTGCAGTGAATTCCACGTATCACCTTTGATAGAGAGAAAGGGCTGATCTGTCTTGAGCGAGCGGGAGTTAAAGAACGAGGTATCGCGTATGAGCCATCAGCTACAGCTCTGGAGACTCCAGCAGGAGTCTTTTAGGAGCAGTTCCAACACAGAAAACAGCAGTACTGCAGGAGAATTAAAATACTGACATCTATAGGATGTTAAACATTTCTAACAGTTACAATAAGAAGAAACCCACAAATATTATCCATTCTTCCCTAGAATTTCCTACGCTGACTAGGTCACAGCAAGAACCAGTTCAGCTTTTCTGCCCATGGCTGTTCATGCGCTTTGTACTGCAGTCCTGAAGTGGGACCTACCGCAGCCCCAGTGTTGTGCCTGGACTGGCCTGCAGGACATCCCCAGTACGATGCCAGGGATGATGGGGAAGATTAATGCAGCAAATTAATGGGATACACAGAGGTAGCAGTGGGGATGGACAGAGCTCTGTGAGAATCACAGCCCTCAGCTCTGCCTCGTGCCGCCTGTCGAGGTTGGGAAGGGGACGGGTTCTCCTCCAGGCAGCAGAGAGGCTTCAGCCCGCGACCACCCCTGCTCCCCGCTGGCACTGCCTTTGCCAGCCAGCTGCTCCCATCAGCACTGCTGGGAGGGCAAACACGGGGCTCGTTCAGACCACTGCTGCTTTGGCGGGACTGTGAGCGACGGAACATCGGCTCCTCGCATCCGTCCCTGGGAATCCATGAAAGATCACCCTGCTGTTGCAAGCCTAACCGTGCACACACAGCCCCCTCCAGTTCGGTTGTTACTACAGGGATTTCACTAGTGACCCCTGCGTGACAGCACGGTACCTCCTGCCTGAATTTTCTGGAGCTGCTCTGCCTTCTCATTCCTGTTATGTTTGTGTCATACTTGAAATAACCCGGTCACAAGCTGTGGGGCTACAACTCCACAGAGCTGTGCCCAGGCTCCTATAGGAGCATCTCATTCTCCTGAGCAGTTCCCAGGCAAACAAAAGCCAAGGAGGAGCAAGGACACAGATGGAAGACAGTATTTTCTTAGCAGGAATACAGTTATAATGTAGGTAGACTGCCTCCGTTTACCTCCCCAAATTAAAATAATCTTTTTCTTATGCTCCTACCTAAGAATGAGACCGGAATGTGACCCACTCTGCTTCTGCCTGCACTTACCAGCCAGAAAGAGGACGCAAGGAGCTAATAGACAAGTCTCACAGTGCCAGAACGGTTGAAGGCGGAGGTGTACTCACAGGGCCGGGCAGAGGCTGGCAGAGAGGGAGGAGGCACGGCTCTGGGGAAGACCTGTGGGTTCAGGGCTGTGGGACAACTCCACAGACCGCTGTATCACACAGCAGCTCCTGTAGCGCTGCTGGTGCTCTCCCCTCGGCCTGCAGAGCTTCCATGGTAGTGGTCAGAGGACAGACTGCAAGATCAGCCTAAGTCACCCTCAAGCAAATTAATTTTATTTTTTTTACACTCCCTCTTTCCCCCCTCTTTAACTCCCCCGACGTGCCACTACCTACTGTCAGCAAGAAACCA